CTGCGTCTCCCACTTTTCTTGAAATTGTCTGTGCTCGTCACCAACCTTTCTCTTCACTGCAGGCTTTGATGAAGACATGACTGGGGTATGACAAAATCTAATTGATTCCGCTTAGTAGCACTCTTGTTTCACAAGAGTGAAAAAACAAGTGAAAAAACAAGACACTCTTGTGAAACAAGAGTGTCTTCTTCTCTCCATCACATCAGCCATTTCTCTGCTTTTCCCTGTCATTGTACCTACAACAATACCACACACGGCAACAATAATTACCTGCTAATACTACTAACACTAATCTATCTACTAACATCCACTGTTCAGATTTCCCATGTTCATTGACAGTGTGCTGCTACTCATGTGTGTACTTTAATGTATTTTACCTATTTGTGCATTTTTATTGTTGTTTTGGTGCTGTACTGCTGCTGGAACTCACAAACTTCTATCACATGCATTTTCTTTTGAGCCACTGGTCTTGCAGTCCCAGTCGTCAGCTGATCCTGTCAAGACATTTTTGGTGTCCCCTGAGAACAGCCAGTTAGGGAACGTAGCATGTATCGTGGCAGCAGTTCATGAGCGTACGCTAGGGTCAACTGTGTCATGATTCCACAATTACTTGGTACAATAACTGTCAGACAATTAATCACAATATTACAATTATTATGCTTTTATTGGTTTCACAACACTGTGCTGTTGCATGATAACATGACCTTTAATGTCGTAACATTGTTGCAGTGTACCAGTCTTCTCTTGTTTATTGCATTTATTGTTTGAGTTCACCTTTACTTATATTTTCTGACACTACTCAGAAAATGTTAGGGTCTTCACATCGCTAATAATCAGTGATATCAACGTATGGCATCCCTGGTGAAGACACAGCAGCATACTGAGCTAAATGACATGAAAGGATACAATCACAGTCGACGAACTGCACAGCTCCCGTTGTAGGTACCGAGTCGTTCCACAAGTTGATCACCTGTGAGGGGAGACATTGTTGAAGGTAAATGTTACAGGCTTTAATGAAATCATGGCTTCACTTCACAAATTATTGGTTTGAATGAAAATAAATCAGTTATTAGTATAGTATGTTAGTTTTGATCATAGCAACTACTTAATCCCTAATACTAACAATAATCCCAACAACTCTATCCTAAACCCTAACACACACAGGGATGAGAACTGTACCTCAGTGTCCATGAGCACTGGCTTTATTCCCAGAAAGGTCTCATGATCATTCCTGGGACAATCTGGTTGTGAAAGCCTGGACAAGATGCAGATGCCATTGGTCTCTGTGGACAAACAGGGTAAAAACAGGACGTGTTTTAGTCTTCATATTTGCTGTGTTTAACACTCTTTTCTGTCCATCTTCGTTATTTATGGGCCAAAAAAGTTCTAAGACAGAATATAGTTTTATGTTACAGTGACAGACCTGTTATGTTTTATTTGATCAGGTTTTTTTACTCCTTTAAAACTGTTTAAAAAATAAATATCAGAGCAATAATGCCATTTTAACTGGTCTTCAATTCAACATTTGTAGTTTTTTTTTTAAAGTTTTTGGACAAAGCCAAGAAGCAGGTTGTGACCTGATGCAAAAGTTTCTTTAAATAAAGTTTTTTGGCCCAATCTGTCTTACAACTTTGACTTTCCCCTTCGTATACTAGGAGTCTTCCACCTAACACGAAGCTCAGACGTACGACAAATCTCAAAAGCACAGTGGCAAAACCAAAGGGACTTTTAAAGACACTGCAAACAAATCAAAACAATCAGGGCCACAGCACAAACATAATAACGTCACCTAAAACCCTCCCAGAAAACATTTGGTGCAGGACAACGACCTGAAGAGAGTCATCAGAGAGTCAGAGATTTTTGGTTGCTGTTATTTCTGGTGTTTCTGCAGTGATTGCTGCAGATTTAATGCTGTAAAAATTGTTTTAAAACTCCCCCAAAAATAAAATATCCAAAACAACACTGAATATTTTGAGAGAAAAAAAATCTGCCTCAAATACTACAAACTGAGATATTTTATGATGACACGTATACATATATAATGTGACTTTCTTGGAAAAATGCAAAAAGACCACAAAGTAATCCAAGAACACATGTGTGTCCTCCAAGATTTGCCACAATGTGTGAATTTCTTATAAAATACAACACAATTAACATTTGTTTTCTCAATCAGTAATCAGTATTCTAAAAAAGGGGAAAAGTATTCCTCTTTAATTTAAGTGTAATCTTCTTTGTTGTTGGGTCTGGTGCCCCTCATTTTCCTCTTGA